AAACCCCGTGGGAGGGAATAAATGGGTTTTTATTGGGTTTAAACCCAGTAAACGGGTTAAAACCCGGTTGATTGCCCATCTCTATGCGTGACGCGTGTAATCTTACGAGGACGCGGATATTTTTTTTTTTGATGTGTCTGTCTCTCTTCTGTCTTCTTTGGATGGAAGTGGAAACTGTCACAGGTGCTTAACAAGGGAGGATGTCAAGCAATTATGGGTTAAATATATAGAGCTTTTTCCAAAATGAATACAAAATATTGGCGTCTTCTGTTTGCATGTTAAATAAAGTATTATATGTTGTGTACAAAGATGCTCAGTAATGATACCAGTTAGCGTTATTTCTATGTTTCCAGATACCTAATTTTAAACATGGATGTTTGACTTTATTTCTAGTGTAATGCCCATCCATTCTAATCACGTCTTTTTACTTATCTACTTATTTTCATCACCATCTTCAACAGCCTGTAAATGCCCACTGCTGAGCAAAGCTAATATGGGATACCTTTATATATATGTACATTTATAACCCTTGTTTTTTACAATAGATGCAAACTCCGTTTAAAACCTACTGTAACACTTCTCTGCATCACCCTATGGTTGGCTGGTAGAGAATGCCATTCGGTATTAAGTCCGCCATTGTATAAATTGTACAAAAAGTGTTAAATAAAAATAATACCAAAATGACTCATAATATCGTGGCAATAAAATAATATAAAATATCAACTGCAATCAAACTATATTTTCCTAGCTTTCCTCCTAATCCTGCATCTCTACCCAGTACCCACCTTGAAACACCACGCCAAACATAGTCATACACAATTTACAAACACGTCAATCTTAAAATAAAATAAGCATGTTCAATTAAAAACCTTCCCTACTCGGGGGTTGAAACTCATAATTGGGCCGCGTGCACTCAATCCCCTTGTTTCAAGAGAAAACCACCCTTATACGCTTACAATAGGGATTACAATAAATATTATTTCTTTTAAATTAATTGAATTATAATTGGGAGTCTTTTAAAATGACTTTTGATGGATTGGTAGCGTTTGAACTATGAATTCATTGGTTTATTGATGTGCCTAGTAGAGGCTAGTTATTTCTGTGTGATCATATTTTTAAGGAGTACACTATACACACTTGTCGTGGTCGCCTAGCAACAGGCTTTGATTTTCCGGTCGTTATTAAAGATTCGCTGAATAGTTGTGAGTTTTTTTTGTATAGTATATGGAAAATAGGTTGGTTTAGCTCATCTGTCTCATCTATGGCCATCTTTGGTTCATAAAATTTAATATCTTGTGAAACAGGTGTTTTTTTTATAATTTGGATCATTATCTGGGTTCATTTTTCAAATATAAACGGCTACGGTCTGAGAATACGCCTATGACGCCTATGAGATCTAGATAATGATAAAGCACTCATTATCAATATTATCTCTGTCCGAAATATACCATTTTGACACCACAATACAAATTTTCATAGCAGAGATCAATAACTACTCTTTAACCAACTACATTCAGTAATCGATACTTTAATACAAGTGGGTGTATTTGTTGATAGTGAAACTTGATATCCTGACAATGAAATCGATCCTCGTATAGCCAATGTATGTAGGATTGTAGGTATGTGTGAGAGAGACACGCGTCTTACGTGCATCTTAATATCATATTACATTATACCAGTTATTCTGTCAAGGGGTAAGTAGAGTTGGAAGGGTTTCTTCTGAGACTATTTTTCGCTAATTAGAGGGTCTATCGTTTAGCTAAGAGTAATTGGATTAAAAACATTCTACTTAGTGATAACCTAATCATCTAATCGTTTGACTAACCTAAGAGTTGTGCTTAAAATGCCTTAGTATAATAGTCAGTACGACTATTTGTTCGTCCAACTAGCTAGTTAGACACGCATGAACGTTAATATTTTTGACAGTCTATTTTGTAAGCCAAAGTAAATACATCCGCCATTGAACCTACAATACGAAAGCAATATAAATCAAAAACCCATCTTCTAAAATATAACAAAAAGATAAAAGCCCAACACTTAACAGTGCAAAATAACCCGCAGTTAAGATCACAAGATATCTTTATCCGATTATAGAAAAAACGCTAAACCCGGTATTAGCACACCTGGTTAAAAAGTTTAAAAAAATAAAAGGAGTGAAAAAACCGACATTGTATCGGTAATCCTCTATAGGAAGCACTTGAGCTTCGATATTTAAAAAAACCGGCGCCTATTGTTGGCAACCCTCTATAATTATTATTTTCGTAGCTGGCGACACGGAGGCACACAATGGCGTCCCTACGCACTTCCTGTTTGCCCTCGCGCGCTATTAAACGTGAATGCGAGCGATTGGCCAATTTGAATTTCGAATGTCGTATAATGGAATACATTTGCCGGCTATTGGTGTGTAATTTATTTCTTTTTTTTTTAATAACGATGGGTAGTTATTAACTATTTAGTGGACAAGGCGATGTTTGTATACAGCCTTTGTCAGATGTTACTTTACTGTTTTGTTAGATAATTGAGGAACTAACCGGAGTTGCCTTTTTGTTGTATTTGTTTGCAAAAATGTTGTGCAAGTAAGCCATTACCTATCTTGTAATGGATCAAGTATTGTTAAGAAGTTGTATACGTTTTTACTATTATAAAAGTTCTAGATGAAGGATTTATATTAAATCCAGAGTAACAATAACAGCCACAAAGTAATCTCGATTACATAACATAACATAACATCACGCCTTTTATTCCCGAAGAGGTTGGCAGAGGTGCACATTATGCCACTATACAATATAACACCCACTTTTCACTATTTATGTTATGAGTCCCATATAATAGGGGATGAGCCTATTGCCATATACCGGGCACCATTCCAGACTCCGTGCTACTAATCTCGATATAAATACATAACACATCGCACGTTTTTCCGAAAGGGTAAGAACTCCACACATTAAAATACCAACACCCAATTTTCAGCAGTTATCGAGCACCCATATAATAGGGGGTGCGCCTATTGTCGGTTTAAATGCAGCCCTAACAACAGCCTAAGGTTAGTTGTAGAACAATTCCGACATCACTTGACAACCGGTAGCAGTTGTAACCTCGGGGCAGTTATAGGGGTGTGCAATAAGTGAGAGAGTCGCGACCTTTGTGAGGCGATCATGTAGTTATTGTGACAGCCCTAGCCTGAGGCTACCGCTTACCTTGTTAGTGGGAAGCGTGATGTTTGTTGTTTTAGGGGTAATAATTGTAATAGTGAATTGTGGTTAGGGAAATTTAATTTAGATATGATAAATTAGGGAAGGCTGTTTGTATGTTTCTTTATCAAAAAAATAAATTCCAGTAGATTATTCTGAAAGTGAACACCAACATAACATAACATCAAGCCTTTTATCCCCGAAGGGGTAGGCAGAGGTGCACATTACGACGAGAGTGATAGCAAAATCAGACAAGTAACAGAAAGAGCAGATACCCAACGGTGTGATTACAAAAACCGTTAAAACAATTTCTTAATTTAATTGCAAAAAAAGGGGCGAGATAAAACGAAGATTCAAATAATAACAACCCTTATTTCGCAATAAAAATCAGAGTCAAATCAAAATGAAACGTCAATCATTAATGCATTAATCTCCTCACGTGCGCTCCCTTCGGCGGCCAATTAACGAGTGACGGGGTCGGGTGGGGAGCGGGGTACGCTGGTATAAGAGGGAGGGGGGTAGGTCACGTGACTCAATTAAATCGCACGCTCGCGCCATTGTTGGCGGAAGTGACGTGCGGCCGAATTAATTTTTAATAAACTTCACAACTGAACTGTTTGTTATATATGTCGACGGTTATTAGTTTGTGTTTAGGATTATATTCAATGTTTGTTTATATATATTTATGAATTTCATGTAGATTGAGTTTGTAGTTATCGTTTTTGTTGTAACATCAATAGTATTTTTCTGCTGTTTTGATTGTTTTATTGCTGTTTCACCATTTCGTAATATGTTACGTGATTTACGTGTTAAAAATATTTCGTCAAATCAAGGGGCTTACTCTTGAATCTAATTCCGATCGATCGATATTGACATTGTGAAATATCAAATATCTTACTCTTGAGTTGCAACAATAGCGCCTATTGCATCCGTGTTGCGTGGATATTGAATGAACTTAGTATTGAGTTTAGCTTTATATTCCGTACTGTGAACATGATTTTAAAAGCTACGATTGGTGTTGTATAGATGTGACTTTAAATAATTGTTGATGTTTTATTACATTGAAATTGCATTGATATTGAGATTGGTTTCAAGAGCAAGCGCCCAAATCTAGAAAACTAATCAGAGAAAAGACGGTGATCTATTATAAGTGAAACAAGTGAATTAATTTCTGCAAATAGGCTACATGGCAGCACTTTTACACGTCAATTTTATCAAGCGAACGTTGAGGTCGACATTTTCTAACTGACTGCTCTGAGAAGAAATGCCGAAACAAACTCAAAGGTCCGTCTCTTAAGTTAGACACATAGCATAACATCACGCCTTTTTATCCCCGAAGGGGTAGGCAGAGGTGCACATTACGGCACTTTAACCAATGTACATACAATGTAATTGTTATACGTACTTGTCACTATTTAAGTTATGGGTCCCATGTAATAAGGGGTGAATCTATTTGTCATATACCGGGCACAATTCCAGGCTATTACTAAGAATGTTTTTTTAAAACCCAGCAGTACTTTGCCCGACCCGGGAATCGAACTCGAAACCCTTTGCTCGACAGTTGCACTTGCGACGACTCGGCCAACGAGGCAGTCTATTAAAGTAGAGGGATTGCAATAACAAGTACATTAAAAAAAAATAGTATAGTTATTCTGAGCTCGCTAGATGGGGCGCTAAGACACAAAACCCTGTTCATAAAAAGAATGACTCCTGGGACAAGCACCAAGCTTCACTGACCGACAGAACGACGGACAATTCAAAAGTGTGTAATTAAGAAATAATAGAAATAGATGGTTAGAGTGTACTTACGATGTTGTTGTTCCGGCGGCGGTATGGAGGCGTAGTTCCCGCGCGGCAGGTGGTGGCCCAGCATGCGGCGGCCCGCCTCCTCCATGCTCGCGATCGTGTTGGAGCGGACCATGCCTGCACGGATTCATACACTACATCAGGATAACTTCAATTTGCCTGTCAGATATTATCATAGCAAATAGCTAAAAATCTCTCTTTACAGTTTTTTTAAATAAGTAATGGGCCGGGTATTGAGCCGCTGTCTTAGCTTGCTATAAGAGAGGGCGATGTCGATTGTCTACCACTGAATTGGGCTAATGAGGTAATTATTTGGAAATTTTTAGACTATTGAGATACTAATATTTGAACCGAAATGCTTTCTTTATTGAATCTTATAGCGAAAATGTTCAAAAATGTCAAATAGTTTAAAGTTTGGTTTGGTTTAAAGTTCAACAGCTAATTAAGTGTTACAAAAATTTAACATTTGAAAGAAATCAAAGACTCACCAATCTGAGGCCTCCAGTTCCTATTCTCTTCATGTGACAAGTTCCCAGGTTTGAGTACCCGCGGGGGTTGCTGGGCGCCCTCTAGTCGTCTCGCCGGGAACTCCTTGTCGTACGCAGGGTCCACGAACCTCACACATACCACGTGGTTGCCCAGCACTGGCTGCAGACCTATCACTGGAGATGGCAGCTGACTGTACGGGGGGAAAGAGAAGACAAGTTAATTTATTATTTGTATTATTTTGGAAGGTACATAGAGAAGGAAAAGAAGAGTGGAGAGAGATGGTAGAGTAGATATGAAGAGGGTAGTAAGAGAAAGAGGAACTTGGGGATAGGGGGAAAAGAGAGAGAGGAGAGTAGGGAGAGAAGGGTGTGGAGTAGGATAACGGGCTGAGAAGAGAAGGATCAGGAGAAAGTGGGATCAATAAGAGGAGAAAGATACAAAGAGAGAGATAGTACACAATCTGGTCACACCAAAAAAATTAATAACCGAAAAATAACACTAAAATGAAACATGTATTAATATAACACCTATATACATACCCTCCAATAACAACACAGTCCTTGCTGAGCATGACGTCCCCCGTGACCCCGTCGCAGCGGTACGGATACTTGTGTTTGTCCTCAATGAGCTGCCTCAGCTTCCCCCCAGCGCTGGAGTACAGTCCCAGCAGGAACGAGTAGCTGGCGTTGGCCGTGCCCACGTATAGACGGTCGTGGCCACGGATGTTGCGTAGTTCTGTGTAAGAAGATAAAAATTGTAGGTCTAGTTGAATAGTTAAAAGATATGTAGCGTTTGACTAGGCGAATTAGTCCTATGTAACGTTTGACTGCACTTGGTGCCGTGGCTGGGCAACTAGCTGCCGTGCAACGTTTCGCGAGTTTGATTCCCGCAAGGACCAACTCTTTGTGTGATCCACAGATTGTTGTTTCGGGTCTGGATGACATGTGTGTGTGTGAACTTGTATCTTTGTAAACGCACCTACGACACAGGAAAAAATCCCAGTGTGGGGTAACATTTAAAAAAGACGTGTCGCAAATTCGATGGTAAAATATTTCATTAGATTCATAAGTTACTGTTGCGGAACTGAGTATGATGTATATTTGACATCGTGTGCTTATAAATGAACACATAAAAAGACATTAGTGATTAAGGCTTAAATGTAAAATTTTCAACAAAAAGGTTATATTGTCAAAGTCCAAGAGAACGGTTACATCGCTCACCAAACCTTGCCTTTTTAAGAGCGATAATTAATTCATTATAGAACAGGGTACTAACTCTCAGCCTCAGTGAGGTCATCATAGTGGGGCTCCAGTGCCTTGAAGAGTCTCTCCTCGTCGACGAAGGGTAGCAGTGCCACGCCCTGCCAGGCAAACTTCTTGCCGTTTAAGTCGATCTTGAAGTCCGTCGGATAAAAGTCGATGATTGGGGAAAACTGTATGGAATAATGACATAAATTAATAATATTATTTGTTAAAAGGGTCTTTGTTTTTGAGCTGCAACACACTAAGCAGCTAAACAACTATAAGACTAGTTCAATTCCAGAATAATTCACTTTTTACAGCAGCAAGAAGCATAATAATGGAAGAAAAATTTTAGGTAAAAATATGTTACATTGTGGAATCAAAGCATCTAACTTTTGGTTAACTAAGAGTGATATATTAAACTGTCAAACACCGCGCGGTCACCGGTGACCGCAACCTATTGTTCTTTAATTGTGTCTATATTGACGGTGCTCGACGAGTTAAAAGAAACCTTAATCTTAATTTAAAGGTTGATATTTCAATACTTACCGGATCGCTCATGAGCTTTGCCCAAGGTTTAGGCACGTGAGTGGAACTGGCTGCAGGGAACACGCCCATCAACTGCTCTAGCGGACGGAACTGTGGGAAAATGTGTCTTATAAGGTACAAGATTCAATATTGCACTGGTGATCTTAATGGCTTCATTGTATGATACATAAGGAATATTACCATGTAACGGTGGCTTAGAATTGTTATTTATATAATCAAAAACCAAGAATGAAATAATTTTAAACTTTACTTTCATTTTATCATTTGACAAGTGTTACCAATCACAATGAAAAAATGTTTATGTTACAAAAGAATGGAACCGAAAATTAAACATATTTTTATTTGTTTGACAGTGAAAAGTAAAGAAAATAATCATTTTAGTACAATTTATTATTTGTTACTTGTGATTTGACATAAAATAATATTACTTGGCTTCATAAATTAGTATGAAAGACTTACAGGTTGCGTGCCCTCCTCGAACTTGGTGGAGAGTCCGCAGATGTTGACGAAGTCTGAGGCAAATGGTGCGTAGTGGTACGGGAAGTACCACTTCCAGCTGGCGCAGCCCTGGTAGTAGTAGCGCAGCACCCAGCACAGCCCGCGCACGTACTGCAGCGCCACGCGGTACCTGCATCCATACATACATCACTATCCGCCGGGATAGGCAGGTATGGTCACCATTTAGGTGCTGAGGACTCCGAAATGAAGCAGGAGTAAGAACGGGATGGTTTTTTGTTAGTAAAAATCTGCCACGCCCTCCTGCCTCACTCGGCGTCGTTTAATAATTACACCCCAAAAACATTAGACCAAAATAAACTTATTTATGGCTCACTTTCAAACAACACGTATGTGTTATGATTGGTTATATCGCAAAATGTATTCCTACACGTAAAATTCGATAACAACCAAATGAATTCTATTTTACTAAAATACACTGTAATCCGAAATTCTTCTTAAAAAGTAACCTTTCAATAATGCGAAGAACAAAAATAAATAACATGAGTGCTTAACACAAAATAAACATCTTAGTATAGGACTTCTTCTTAATCTTTTTCACCACAAATCTGACTAAAATCACATCAACCAACACTATTAACTTCAACTACATCTGTACATGAAGTGAGTACTGACCGGAACTCCATGTTGTCCCTGGCGACCTCGAACTTGCTCTCGTAGTACCTCTCCTTGAACCCCTGCTCCCACAGCCGCACCTCGTCATTCTTGTCATCGTCGTCGTCGTCCAGCCCCGCCGCATGGGCGGACCGCTTGCGGCCACGATTCTCTGCTTCTTGCTATAAAACATAAATAATAGTTAAATGTCTGCCTCGATGGCCGAGTGGTCGCAAGTGCGACTGCCGGGCAAGGAAGGGGTCTTGGGTTCGATTCCCGGGTCGGGCAAAGTATTACTGGGTTTTTTAAAAAATCCTCAGTAGTAGCACGGAGTCTGGAATTGTGCCCGGTATATGGCAATAGGCTCACCCCCTATTACATGGGACTCATAACATAAATAGTGAAAAGTGGGTGTTACATTGTACAGTGGCATAATGTGCACCTCTGCCTATTCTTTCGGGTATAAAAGGCGTGATGTTATGTAATAGTTAAATGTAGAAAAACAGCGGTTTCCTCATCAACAAAAAGATGTCAATTGCTTAACCAAATGCAGTTGCCTGGAAGGTCCAGTTTTCCCCAATTTTTTACTCGTATTTTTGACTTTATAATCAAAACAAAACAGTTGAAAATGGAATGAAAGGTATGTTGCCAAGACCGGAGGGCCACAACAAAAAATTGAACTTTATAAGCTCACTTTGATAAGATACTCACAGCAGCTTCGTTCTGCATACCGGCGACGCGCATGTTGGCGGCCTCACGACGTACGTTCTCCATTGGCTTCGACTGATTCTGTCCGACAGCCTGTATGATAAACAGACATAAAACATTAATACCAGAAATATCGCAAAAGGAAACAGACCAAAAAACATTTATGTGCGTTTGTTAAAATAACGACGTTGTAAGATCACCATCTAATAGTGATCTTTCGTTTAGTAAATATTTGTATGCCTAAAAAAGCGTAATAAATTGTACTGTTTTTGTTGAATATCGTATTCAATTCGGAAATACAGCAGGAGACAGTTCATGCACATAAAGGATTCAGGATGCAAATAGTTACATTATGCTCACCATAGGGGCAAACTGCGTCTTCTCCAGCATCTCAAAATTGACGCGCTGTTGTTGCCTCTTCTTGACCTTCTCTCTAGCCTTGAAGTTGATCTCGTTCTGGTGTCGGCGCTTGAAGATCTCGTCCTCCATGTGTCCGAGCTCTGTCATAATCACCTGCACCCGCTCCAGCTTCACGTCGCCCGAGTCTGTGAGCCAACCCTGCAGAAAAAAGCAGATGGTGAAAAGATGTCGGTAATTTATTTATTTCCAGGTCTTTATCTAAGGCTTTAAAAGTGTGAAATCTCTTTTATGGACTTTAGATTTTATTGCAAAAATATAAAACTCTAAAACCTATTATATCAATTGTAGATATTATTCGATAATCAAATGCATTTACGCGCATCATTATCCCACTATATGAGACGCTATTATTGTTAGATAGTGGCACTTCCCTAATCGAGCCGTTTCATTCACGATGCGTAAAGAACCTAGGCCTAGTTTCTTAGTTAGTAGAGATCCTAGCACAGACTAGCACTGGTAGAATAAATACAAATGAACAATGAACTTACTCTAGTTTTATAAACACACTTCTTATACAAGTTCACGAGCCGATCCACGGCGCCCTCGCGGATCTCCAAGCTGGGTAGATGTGGCAAGAAGTCGTTGCCCACGAAGAAGCACATAAACACCCAGTCATCTAACGCCCTCTCAAAGTCATAAGGGAATGGGAGGTTTGGCATCTGCAGCTCCTTCTCCAAGTACTCCCGGAGGACGGACAGACGGACGAATATAAAATTGTCCTGGTTGCCGAATGCTGGATCTGATCTCACTAGAGACGCGTCAGGATTTGTGCCTGTACATTCCTTCATTTCGTGTCCTGGAAACAAGATAAACAGTAGTATAAATAAACAGTTAGTCATTTCTCAAATACTCATTAATATTATTCTCATTTCCATGGTAAGACTATGGCATGTATATGTATTATCATTACCTGTTTAAATATTATTACAATAATGCATTGGCATGATTATTACAATAAACATGCCAATGCTTCGAACTTACTATGTAAACTAAACTCAGAGATCAACTTTATTGCAGCTTTACCTAAAGCTTAAAAGAACTCAATATTTAGTTTATATAACTTACCGAGCTGTCCGCAGACATCGCAGGGGCGCGGCTTGTTGGGCTTGAACTCCTCACGGATAATTGTGAAGTTGGGTTCATGCGTAGCCAGCCCCAACATTATTAGATCCGCGTCCGCTCCACACAGCACGTGTTGAGTGTTTGGGTCATGGTCCGGTTGCACTAGAAATAAGATAGACAAACAGATTAATATAAAATACTAATTAAAGACAGATAACTGAATAAGTGGGTGTGAAGATTTTGTGAGTGAGAAAATATATAAAGTGGAACTGTGTCCTGTTGGATATTAAACTGTAAAACACCAAGTGGTCACCGGTGACCGCAACCTATTGTTCTATAATTGTGTCTATAATGACGGTACTCGACGAGTTAAGCTCCCATTCTGCTTTATAATTAACCATCACCATATAAACCATACGCAGGAAATAAATACATTAACATCTTTGGACTTCCTGAGTGGGCAAAAATACTAATATTAATAATTTTTTTCTAGCCAAAATCAGTACTTAACTTAATTTAATACTGAACTTACCCCGCTGCCGCCTGATGTAGTCCATGATCTTGTGTTCTCCCTCGCCGGGTACATTGGCATCTGACAGGATCACTTTAATGCCCTTCCATCCTGGGTCATTGTTTAATCTGGAGAGGAATAAACAAAATATAAAGTACACATGTCTCACAGCTCGAATATTTTCTGGGTTTGATGCAGATTACTTTGTGTGCTTGATCTGAAGGTGTCGTAAGAGCTAAGGAACTACATTTTTTCAGAAATGCATTTAAAGAGAGCATGGGGATCCATCATTGATCATATAGATGGTTGGCAGGCCACAAGTGTGCGCTTCTCACGTAGCTTTCTGCCTCGCATAGCAAAACTGTGGAATGATCTGTCGTCGGCGGTATTTCCGAACCGATACGACCTTCAAACCTTCAAGAAAAGAGCGTATTCCTTTTAAAAGGCCGGCAATGCACCTGTGACTCCTCTGGTGTTGCGAGTGTCCATGGGCGGCGCTGACCGCTTACCATCGGGTGATCCGTCTGCTAGTTTGCCACCTAATCCATAGAAAAAAAAAGCTGCGATCTCCAACTTCGCCAGGCGCGGGTATTATGGCTAAACCCTTTTTTATAGTAGAAGTCCATAGTAGTGGGAAAACAACAAAAATAGAGCATGAAGTCCATACAAACCTGTCATGAATGTAATAGTGCAGACATTTGCTGAGGCGGTCCATGAAGGGCGTCCCAGGAGTGATGCAGTTGGAATCAAAGTGAGCTTCCTTGGGCCTCTCTGGAGGCAGGTAAGCACCTTTAGCCAGCAACTCGTCGCGGATGCGAGCAATCTCGTCGATCTTCTCCTGGGTCTCTTTGGAGGCACGGAAACGACGGGAACGCTGCTGGTTCATCTTAGCTCTGGGCGCCTGGAATGAATACCATGTCATTGTTGTTAATAGACAAATGGGAAGACACATAATTTTCAAGGATTTGTATGGCTTATTACAAAGTGTAGCCTTCTATCATTCATATAAACATTGTCAACAGAAAAAAGCATTGTTTAACATTTGCCTTTTGCAAAGAACAAAAACTAACAGTAAAATATCTAAATTTTCGTAAAACTACCAATAAAAGTAGTATTATTATAACACAAAACATAAATACTTTTAACAAATCGGAATAAAAGACTACAACACTCACCACTCCATCAATAGCCATGTAGAGCAGCTTCCTGGGTCGCACAATGCGGAACAGTCTGTCGATGCACTCAAAGATCGCCACCATCATCTCGTCTTCATCCTTAGGGGGTGGCTTGTCTTCAGGATGGGTGCACGGATGAATGATACCATTCATGTCCAGGTACAGATTGTCAAACTCCACCCCATTTGGGTTTGGGAGTGAAGAGTCAATGTACACAAGTTGGCCATCAACGTCGGTTGGCTGGAAATTTATAAAATCACCATGTTAAATACCGTGACATGATAATATGATAATAAGCTGAAGATTTGTGTTCAATGGCGCTTTTTGATAGCAATTAAAGATTAATTACTTATGTGACTTCTGAACAAAGATCATATTATCATAATTATAATTAAACTAGCTAGTTCCGTGCGGTTTCACACGCTCTGCTTAACTCCTATTGGTTGTAGCGTGATGTTTTATATAGCCTATAGCCATCCTTGACTAATGAACACAGAAAGAATTTTTTAAATCAGACCAGTAGTTTCGGAGGTTAGTGCATTCAAACATACAAACAAAAAAAGAAACTCTTCCGCTTTATATACTAGTATAAGATTACCACAAGAAACCAATGTCATTAATCAATTATTACTAATTAGTAGTTGTTGTGTATAAAAATATAAAATTAGGTGAAATTTTGTGGTATTTTGTGACATTCTTATTTCCTCATTACTTTCACCTGTAGATAGATTAAGTTTTAGAGCTGAAAGTATTATTTTCATAATGAAAGTATTAGTTTCTGGTGTGAACAATGATCCTTAGTAGTTGCGTGATAAAATTAACACAAAATCAAGTTTCAAACCATTAAAATCAAGATCCTTCTGAAGTATGGGTAGTTTCAACTATTCATGATTTCCACTGAAAAACTTTCATTGAAATGTGTACCATAACCATATACTATGTATGTACCAAAATCTTTACAATAACGTATGGATTATGATAAAAATTAACGTTCATGTATTTCAATAATTACGAGGTTCATTGTATAGGATTTATTCTGACAACAGTCTTACAAAAAACATGGTTTTTCTCTAAACACTGAAGCCACATCAAAACACTGAAGACGCAGATCACCAAAACAACATGGTTTCTAGTATTTCTTTCGTATATCAAAGCAAAATAAACCTGTGATTACGCATATATAAGTATTTATTAAACATATATTTTTAGGTTATATCTTACCTTCTGTTCAATACATTCAACAATGACGCTGGGGTATTTTCTACTTAACCAGCGAAAGAATGCTGGTACTCCCATCTTGAAATTTCACTTTAAATTATTGTTCTGGTCTGATTTTACACTTCGTTTATATTTTGTTACGTTACGTATTCAACACAAACAAATCGACGCAGATGCGGCAGATGCCACCGATGCCGCTGCCAAATGAAGAATGAAAATGAATGAATTCAATGATAATGAAAGAAGAATGAAGTGGAATGAATGAAGACAAATAAAAGAAAGAGAAAGATTGCTAAGCTAGAAAAAGATGGACGACATACGTTCGGAAATTAATGCACGTCTCGCTTTTTACTAATCATAGACTATAAATCCTTTAATAAAACGGCTTTTCAGAGAAATATGTGGTAAATTAATCAATTTACGGGGTAAGTTACATGCTTGAAACATTATTATATGTATTATTAATTAAAAATATGCGTATGTACAAATTACGTACCCATTACGTACCTATACATTATTTTGTTATAGATATACAGATAAAGTTATATAGCGCAACATGAACATTAATAATCAATAATTTGTATTGCAAGTTGCAATGATGGAGCCCGAAGATGGAGGAACAATAAAAGCTATTAAATTATCAAAAATTAGACACGTTTGGAAATTACGGTAGGACTTTTGAGTCAAATGTCAAAAAATACTGTCAATTCTGTCAAATGAAATTGTGACCTTATCAGTCAGCTGGTGGTCTGGTTGTGGTTGATCTAATTTGATTAAGCATGGGATTACCATAGGTTTTGGTGATTTAGTTTCAATAAAGGCTTCAACATGAATCGTTACCGGCGGGTATTTCGAGTGTCTTGGCTCAGAAGGTGTTTCTCGACCAATGGAGACAAGAATATAGAAAATATCCGTAACATAGGCATCTTGGCTCACATAGATGCAGGTTAGTAGTAGTGAACTTCCATTATTAAGCTTAAAAATAAATAAGTTACTATTTTCCACGTCCCACTGTTATTATTTCAGTAAAAAAATATTATTTTCATTCATTAATTTCATAATCTCTGACATGTATTGCAGAAAACTAAAATTGTATTGTTTTATGAATATCACTTTGTTTTAGGGAAGACAACGACTACAGAGAGGATGCTGTTCTTCTCCGGGACCATCAGAGCTATGGGGGAGGTGCATCATGGCAACACTGTGACGGATTATATGGAACAGGAGCGGCAGCGGGGAATCACCATTACATGTACATATTTAACCTAGCTATGGATTACATAATAAATTATGAAGAAGTTTTTTATGATTCATAAAATAATTTGCAACAAAGCTTTTTGATAAGTCTTCTGACTTTTAATTATTGGTCTTGTAGCTGCAGCCGTGTCATTTCCCTGGCGTGGAAGTCAGATCAACCTGATAGATACTCCAGGCCACATTGACTTCACCATGGAGGTGGAGCAGAGCCTTGCTGTGCTGGATGGAGCTGTCATCGTGCTTGATGCGTCTGCGGGTCAGTCCATGATGCGAAATTGCATAATATATTCTTTCATGCGATTGTTTTAGAAAAATATTACATTAATGCTTATACCAGCATCTAAGCAATAGTGCAATAGTGCGAAATATTTATAATTTTTTATAAATATTTTAATTTTTATAACCAAATTTTTATATTTTTATATTTTTATAAATATTTTCATGCAATTTCATAAAGAATAATTCAGCGAATTCCCTCTTATTACAATAACAACAAACAAATGGAAACTTCTGACAAAAGTTTCTATGACCAGGTGTAGAAGCGCAAACCCTAACAGTATGGAAGCAGGCGAGTGGTTATCGAGTGCCTCGGATCCTCTACCTGAACAAGATGGACCGTGGAGATGCTAGCGCTGAGGAGTGTGCGCGCTCCGTGAAAGAGAAGTTGCATGCTCAGCCGCTGCTGCTGCATACTGATGTCAGGCTTGAAGGACGGCTTATAGGTATGTATGTAGGATGTGACGCTATTGCCATGTAGAATATTATAGCATTTAACTAAGGTACTTGTAGCACATACTTTGTTAATAAATAGCATAAATAAACATTGAGTAGTAAAGTTGGTGGCATATTTTGTAATTATTTTCTAAAAATGATGTTTAGCCAAAACATAAGTATAAAATCAATAAATTCAAGTAGTTATTGTGCAAACATTATTAATTAGGAAATCAGGATAATATTGGTCCTTATATTGCTGAAGCTGTTCCTCTTTCCCAGGTCTGATAGACCTGATAACCATGGAGGAGGTGATATGGACGCAGGGTCGAGGGCAGACGCTGGTGCGACGCAAACTGACGGAGAAGGCGGACGGACACAAGTGGGAGGCTGCCATGTCTGAGCACAAGGAGCTTGTAGACACACTGTCCACTCTGGACGACCAGCTCGCTGAGACCATTATACAGCAGGTAGAGAGATGTTAATTGTTAGGTTTTATTGCATATATACATACATACATAACA